CCCTTGTCGTCTATACGGAACCCCCTAATTCACTATCTGGGATGGCGAATAATCGCGGGTTCTGCCTTTAATTCAGAGCACCTTCAGTCATCTCCCGTGTATTCACTCTAAAAAGAGCAACTTTTCCAAGATCAATTCGTATCTAATTTTAGTTCTGACCGCATACTGCCTGGAAGATGCAGATCGGATGCGTGACGGTTTCCAGAAATTGCTTGATGTGCCGCTTGATGACGATGAGGAGAACAAGCCTAATGTACGTTGCTTCTATTAGGTTGATGCATAAGTTTTTCCCCCTGTTTTGATCCTTCCGTATTTCGTTTGCATGGAGGTTGGTATTTCGTCATCACGTGTGCGTGACGTGTACATGATACTCTTTCACCACACTAGCTATCACTCACCCACCCTGCATTTGCAGGCCACAATGCCGCACAATTACCACTGTGAAATCATGTCACAGTGGTGATTGTGCGGCATTGTGGCCTTCTTCGGGTCCCAGCCCCCGTCCTTCTGGGAGGATGGAATCGACAAGCTGCCTGAGCGTTGGCGTCGAGTAGTGGATGGTGATGGTGCATACCTCTAATCTTCAGGCTGGTTCGCTATTGAGATATTTACAAAAAAAGTCGGGGAAAAACATATGCATCAACCTAATATTTCACTTTGATGGATATACTAACAGCACAGTCATGTGTATGGTCCTGGTACCGTATATCACAACCCTTTCTGAACCGTTTCTGACCGATCAGGTGTTCCGAGCCAGGCCCTTTGGTACAATGTACAGGGGGGGGGCAAAAAATCACTTCGACCGAGTCACATATCAGCAAAGTTTTCGCTGCCCAGACAGAGGACGTGGATACGAGTACCAGGGCGGAAGATACCCAAGATGTTCCTCGATAAGCAGGAGCTGGCTCTCGCCATCACCTTCATGTACACCAAAATATGAAGTCATCTCCAGTCGCAGCCTGACTGGAGAAGACCTTTGGAATTCATGTCACCTCCAAACAGCTGCGAAACTTCTAGTATGGAGTCACCCATGGATAGCTACCTGGAGACCAGTACTCTCAATCTGGATGACCTCCAACATCGAGCAGCTCCGACAACGTCGCCACGGTCTAGGACATCATCTTCACCGCAGTCGCCAAGGCGCGGGTTGATGGTATGGACCGGACGTACCTGGAATGGAAAGACCAATATTTTCTTCGTGGACCCCGGACTGAAGGTGAGCGCTGGCGGTTACATTGGGCAACTCGTGAAGAATATCCTCCTCACATGTGGTCGCCCGTACCTTCTTGGAAACTTTGTACTGCTACAGCATTGAGTGCCACCACATGAAATCGAAGGGCGTTGGAGAAACACTCGCCTACTTGGAATGGAAGGGGCTGAGTACCTAAAGAAGATGGAATATCCAAGTAGGTCACCTGACCTGAATCCCCTCAATTACCCGGTTCGAGCGGAGTTCAGTAGGGGTGGTCTACGGTGGCGGAGAATCGACTATCTCGCGCTGATCTCAAGCACCACATGGCGGCGTTCCGTGCCAGAATCTTTCTCGCAATGGCGCTCGTCAGAAGCTGTTGCAGAGCCTAGTGCTCATGATAGTACTTTGATATGCCTCTTCAACATACGGCGCTAAGAATGTCGATCAGAATTTGCTGTAACTTATTAGTACCCGTCTCGAAACCAATGCAAGAAAAGTGCTTTTTTTGCCCCCCCCCTTAATCTTTGCGGCCCCCTTGATGCCGGAATATCTGTTCGAATGATGCCGGATAAGTTGTTGCATGTAAATTCCAAGTCGTCACATCAGTAGTGTCCTCAGTAAATTGCCATAGGATCGTTTCATTGCTATGGATTCTCCCAAGCGAAAATCATTAGATCCTCCAAATAACAGCAGTATGCATGGCGTTCTCCCCAGAAAGGAATTAAGTCAGTGCAGCGGATTTTCTCTAGTTATCCTGCATCCATCAGGCAGCGTTCATACTTCGCGACGTCAGTGTCTCGGTCGCGCGTTCGGCGTCGATTGATGCGCATATTTCTCATGCCATCGATTGCGTCGAAGCCCTTGCCATCGCGAAGTTAACGCTTCTGCCTCACAGTTGGAGGGTGCACAAACCAGCACTGCCGTGGACGCATCCTGACCTACCTACTGAAACCTGACGTAGCGTGAGAAATTTCTCTTTCATGGATTCCCACAATTCTTTCCATTGCATGTTACCCCTTCCGACACCCGACGAATCATTCTTACTCAAACCTTCAGAGATTTAGCCGTCGAGCGGAAGTCCGAATCAGTAGTCTTATTCCCGAAGCTGAATATGTCACACTGCCTGCGCTCCAGCCAGCGAGAGTGCCTCGTTGGGCTCCCCAACATGCGACGTGCCCTGATTCAGATACTCCTAGGCTTGAGAGTGAACAGATTTGAATGCGCCATGCATCTGAATTCATCACGGAACACTGTGTGCATTTGAATACGTACTTGATGTTCACAGAAGAAGTGGTACTTTTAGGGAGCTATTCTACTCCTTGCGCCTATAGAGTAGCATTCAAATTAATCCATTGCAACAATAGACTTGTCTACACTGGCGGAGGCCGATCCTATGAATCGTGCATATCATCTTGTTGGCTGCAGATGCTGGGGACTGTCAATAGGGCTGGGTTTGGAACGGCGCCAACCCGCTCTCTACCAATTGTTGTCGCTTGTTCCACTTCAACAATTGGAGGAGAACTGGCTGGCGCCTAGCCTCCTTGGCACGCCCCAGCACTCCTCAGCGAACAAGTCTGTATGCGGTGCAGTACCTTTGGCCAGCGTGCCATATTCTCTCATCCGAATCTTCTCTTTTGACAACTACAACAGATGTTTCAGGATAAGGACGATGTGCTCATGTCACAAGTTCTCAACAATGATAGCCTCCGTCAGTTTGCTAGACGTCAACGTGCCGATGCTGAACGGGCGATTCTAACTGCCGCGAAGACAATAAGTCCAGCCATCGCTTCTGAGTCAGTTTGCTAGAAGCCTATAAAGAATTCTTACCATAAAACATTTTGGGTTGGCTCATGAGTAATGGCGTTTTTTTTCTTCTTACATGAAATTTTTTTGTAGAAGTTTCCCATGCGCATTCTGTGCTACTTTATAGAGAATTCTCAGCTCCACAGGACAGTGGGCTTAGTCTTCTGATCTATCACAGTAGGGTCAATGACGACTGATTATGCCTATTTAGCTTTGCATCTGGCTACGAGTGGTGTGTGGAGACGATCAAACAATCTGTTCATGCTTCGCTGGCCACTGAGTTGGAGATGAGCAAAGCTGGAGAGCTGCTAAAGAAGAGGAGACCTTGAAGGAGCGGCTGAGGTTGGTGTCG